TGATGTTGTATACCAAATGAAACCTAGTTCTACATACTACTGAACTATAAAACTTTTAAATAAGTATGTTTAATAAGGACATTTTTTTAAGTAATGAGTTTGAAATTTTTTTTAACTTTTTTTATTTAAATTGAATTGTTGCTATAACTGTACAAGATGTATATAGCACTTGTATATCTTACTAAAGGCACTTATATTTCCTATTGAACGACATCAAAAAACTTCAAATCCGTGCTTTCGTTTTCGAATTCCTGTAGTTCTCGTTTCCCATTAAAAAAAAATGATACCGTTATACTTGCTTTAAGAACCTCTATCGACGTCGTTGTTCAAAATTTGTCGCCACGGTTATAGTAATCATGCCGACGATGAAGAAGAGGTCATCAGGGGACGTCAGATTTGGTTGAAGGGATAATTAGCTTACTGAAACTACACGTCAGGCAAGAAAAAAATGTAAATAGGTATGTACATTGCAATCATTGCCATAAAAAGACCACTACACGCTGCATTAAATGTGATATCCTGCTTCATGAAAAGTGTAATGTAGAGTACCACAGCACCAAATAATTTTTTAGTACTAACTAATTTGTTTTTCTTTACTGATGTACATACAAGTTTCTGGATAAAAAATTATTTTAATTAAATTACAAACAATTTGTATTTTTAACTTAAGTACATATATATACATACACTTTTACCGAGAGTACTACATATAGTACGGCCCACAAACTCACGATAAAATATATATATTTTTAATCTCTCTTCAGTTTTGCAATACTTTCTGCCAGATTCACTTGATTTGAGAAAACTAACAGAATTGTTGCTGTAGCAAGCTCATGGGCATATCTGGGTTAACCCAGATAGTTTGATTATGGCAACTTAACTTAACTTAACGGAACGTAGAACTTAGGGAATAAAATGAAAAAGATTTCGACGTGACATTAAGTTACGTTAAGTTTTGGCTGTTCAACCCTGCAAAAATGGCGACTACTCCATGCATGCGTGTAAAGAGTACTCCCTAAGGACCAAGGAGTACTCCAAAATTAACCACAATTCATATAAAAAATATGGTCCAATTCACATTGCGATGTCCTAGGGCAGTGATAGGATAACAAACAATAAGCTGGCGCAGAGACACGAGTTGGTCCGCTACAGCATGAGAGAGGAACACGTTTGTAAGTACTCCAATTTACCACAAATAGACTACATGGTCCCACGATTTTTGCAGGGAATTTTAAGCAACACCCATTTAACAGAATTTTTAATAGAGAGCCGTAAGTTATGTTAAGTTGCCATAATCAGACCACAAGGCATTAAACAAATATTATAAAAAAATCTTCAGTGTTATCTAAACTACTTACGTACACCAGTTTCTGGCAGGACCATACTGATGCATTTGAAATCCTACTTACATTGCATGTTTATATAAAATTTTTGCGCATACATACACATATGTATGTATATGTACTTATGCATGTACCTGGCATTCGAGGCATCGACAGTTATCACAAAGTGTGCAAGACAACCCGAGCAGTTCGGAGGCTTCTTTATATAGCTCGTAATTGCTTTTTTGTTGTCGTGACGATTTCAGCACTTCCAACTTTTGTCGATGTTGATTGTTGCTATCACTACTTCCACTCCAATTGTTCGACTGCTTTCGATGCTGGTGTCGCTTGCTCTCGCCTGTAGCATTCGCATCCATTTTGTCGTTCCAATAATGTTTAACGATGTTGTTCAACGACGCACAGGTTGCCTTTGCGGCCATTGAAGTGGTTAGCGTTGTTGAGTCAGCAGCATTTGATTCCTTCATGTATGAGTTGGTCCGAAATTCAGTGGGTGTTACCGAACCGGTGCATCCGACACGGTCATTGTTGCTGGTGCTAAATAGAGACAAGTGCAGGAACGATATTAGTTAGTATTTTCAAAAAACTCTTTAGGACTTTATTATGGAGATGAAAATTTTAGAGCACTAGTTAAATACATACATAGCTATTTCAAGAGTACCCAGCCAGCAAAATATCTGGAAATTAGTGTTGGGCAGTGTCGATCCCAAAAGTACTCAGAACTCGATTCTCAAAAGGATAGACAGCAACCGATTTTTAAAAGTATCGATAGTG